TGGTCTCACCCAAGTTGTCAGCAGCCCAGCAGGTTCGAAAGTGTGAGATTTCTTGCTTCTGCTACAAGTTCCACTAGCTATAAGCCTTCAAACTTTTAAAATATTCCTATATATGTGGTTCAGAGTTTTGGAATGCTCCCCTGAATCTGTTTCATCTGGTATTCTGTGTTATTGCTGACAGAGATCTTCACTGTACTTCTACCCTATCTACCACCAAGCCCCTAATTATTTCTTTAGCAGTGTGAATGGTTTATATAGTCTACTTGTTTTAATTACCTAGATAATGTTAAACACATATATGCAAAATACAGACAACAAAGAGATAGAATGAAAGGAAATGTCATGACATTTTTGCAAACAATATCTTGCTACATATTAAAATGTCCTAAAATTATGATAGTGATTTATCCTGTTAAAAGAATAATGTTAGGGCTAGAGGAACAGGAGATACTTCTCCAAAGACCAGTGGGGGGGGGGGCATGGAGAAGCAGACTGCCTATTATAAGAACAAGCAAGCTGTATGCCTGGGAGCCATCAAGGGAAGTCATCAAGTCCCTTCAGGACAAACCCCCTTTCAATACTCAAACTCAAAGGGCACACACAGGCAGACTTGTAAGCTTGTTGATGACCGTGTTGGTCTACTTGTGAGTGGAAGTTGGGGAAAGGCAGTAATGAAGACATGACCTGAGCCTGACCATGTTTCATAGCTCCTGTCAACCTTGAGATAAGAGAGAGAGAAGAAGGGCTGGTTGGTTTGAATTTTGGGAAGACTTGGGCACTCCTGAGCCCATGGACACTGATCTAGCCACTAGGAGCTAGAGCTGATAGTGACTTGTCCAGCTGATATGAAGTAGAGGGAGGTGCACAAGAACACCCAAACTTACAGATAGTACCCATTTGACATAGTTTGATGACTTGATGATCAGAACTCAACTAGAGGAAGATAAAGAAGTTTGATACAGGAAACAAGTGTAAATTGCTACAATTTGATGAACTTGACCATAACTTATGGATCTAATATCTCAAAATATCAACTGAGAGGGAAGGAGTCTTCACATCAAGGATCAAGCCTATCTCCTCAGTACACAGGGTTGATTGAGACGGGCAACTTAGACATTAATTACCTAAAATGGGGGGCCTATAAAAGCACAAAGTGGTTGGCTTAAAAGTTTAGTTTCAGAGCAAGCTGGGAAAGGTAGAATCCTCACTGAATAGTTTTCATCTAGTCTGCATGGGTCTGGTGGAAGGTGATGGGGATAGTTTCTTTTGCTTCAGGAGTAATTGTTATTGTGACTAATTGTGATTGTCACATGTGTAAAAGTAGAAGTTGCATGACAAAAAAAGGGTGTAGTTAATCTTACATTCCAGGAACAGAGGAGCCTAGGACTAGCAGGAAGGAAGAGCATGAGTAGAACATGGGATCATAACCAGAGAAGCAGCGACATCAGAGATGGAGGCAGAGGTGATGGCATGGAAAGATAGAGCATCTAAGGACTGTACAGTCGTGTAAAGAGAAAGACTGGACTGATGGGCAGGGGGCTGGCCTTCAAAATCTGCCCTTTGGTTGTTTAAATGATTGTATATTCCTGGGTGTTTTTGTGTGCATCAAAAAAAAAGTCAGGGAGGGGAAATATAGGCCAAAAAAGAAGAATGCTAGTTAAGATCAGGGAAGTAGAGAGTCAAAAAATCTCAAAGTCTATTTGAGAGTTTAAACATAATGAAATTGAAAAAGAGGCAGTATTGTGTAGTAGTTAAAATATACTGGATTGAAATTCAGCAGTTCTGGTTGTAACATTGTCTCTAGTAATTAATTATCTGTAAGCTTGAGTCTAGTTAATTAGGTGGGGCCAGGTCATGTAGGCATTGTTAAGGATGTAGCTGTTTATCGTGTAAGACATTGTAAGATTTTAAAAAGAGGAGGTGCATGATCTAATTCTCATATTTATTAAAAGATCATGTGGGTGAATGGATCACATGGTAGCAAAAATGGAAGCAAGAAAACCAAGTAGAAGTCTTTGGTGAATATAATGCCTCTAATTTGGTGGTGGTGATGGTGGTGATGTGCCACGGAATCGTTTCTAACTCATAGCAACCCTACATAGCAGTTCCAAAGTTGTAAATTTTTATGGGAGCAGAAAGCCTTATCTTCCTCCCATGGAACCACTGGTAGTTTTGAACTACTGACCATGGGATTAGCAGCCTGACTCATAAGCATAGGTAGTGGCAGCAGTAGTGAAATAGGTGGTTTGGATTTGACAGCTGTCTAGGAAGTAAAATTATTAGGATGTGAACTTAAACTGGAAAGATAAATGATATAAGATGTCAAGAATGACACCCAGATTTCTGGCATGTACCATTAGGTGAATGTTGGGGTCATTCAGTAAGACACAGCAGTAAATACCAAGAAATTTAGGCTGTGAAAGAATGGGAGCACCTCTAAGAATGTTGAGTTCAGGGTGAGTCTGTAGGGTATGGTATTTTTAGGAGGCAAGTAGAGCTGCTTTCTCAGAAGGAGGATCAGGTTGTTTTATTTGTATAAAGCGACTGTTGTTGTTGTTATGTGCCGTGGAGTCGGTTCTGACTCATAGCGACCCTGTACAGGGTTTCCGAGACTATAAATCGTTATGGGAGCAGAAAGCCTCATCTTTGTCCTGTGGAACAGCTGGTAGTTTCGAATTGATGACCCTGAGGTTAGCAGCCCAATTCGTAACCACTAAAATTTCATCATCAAAAGATTATTCATAATTCAGTGCCTTGAGTGTCTGCTTCAGCTTAATTTCACATCTGTAACAGCAGAAGTGTTAAATTAGGTAACAATACATACACACACACACAAACACACCATGTGTGCCTATACCTTTGTTGATCTAAGCATCAATTTCTAGCTTAAACCAGTTATCATTGGCATGGAGAAATGATTATTCCTGCCAGTGAAGATTTCCTGTGAGTTCTCTGTTCAAAGAACTTGGCTCTATTAACAGTTACCTCAGAATGGAGTCTTTTACAACTAAGTCACATCCTTTGTCCAATTAAGGCTTAGCTCTGCAACAAAGGATAGGTCAATCTGGAGACAAAATTTCAGGGAGGCGAAGCTAACCATCCTGAAGAAATCGGAAATGAGTCCAGGAGACAGGGTCAGTCATCTGGGAGAGTTCAGCATAGAATAGGAAGCAACATGAACCCAGAAGTTTCTTCAGTCCTGGTCTAAAGCCAAATGCATTTAGGATTGTTTTGAGTTAGTACCTCACCCTCCTAACTTTTGGATTACAACTCAATGTAAAGAAAACAAAAATCCTCAGCACTGGAACAATAAACAGCATTCTTATCAATGGAGAAGAGATTCAGGTTGTCAAGGACTTCATTCTTCTTGGATCAACTATCAACACTCGCAGAAGCAGCAGTCAAGAGATCAGACGACGTATTGCATTGGGCAAATCTGCTTCACGGAACTTTTTAAAGTACTGAAGAGCAGAGATGTCAGCTTGAGGACTAAGGTGCGCCTGACCCAAGCCATGGTATTTTCAGTAACCTCATATGGATGCGAAAGCTGGACAGTGAATAAGGAAGATCGTAGAAGAATTGATGCCTTTGAGTTGTGGTGTTGGAGGAGAATACTGAAAGTGCCATGGACTGCCAAAAGAACCAATAGATCTGTTTTGGAAGAAGTGCAACCAGAGTGCTCCTTGGAGGCCAGGATGGCTAAGCTTCATCTCTCATACTTTGGACACATTGTCCGGTCAGAACAGTCGCTGGAGAAGGATGTCATGCTGGGTAAGGTGGAGGGGCAGAGAAAAAGAGGAAGACCCCCAACGAGATGGATCAGCCAGGTGACATCATTGATGGCGTCAAGTGTGGCGGTGGTAGTGCGGTTGGCCCGGGATCGGACATTGTTTCGTTCTGCTGTGCACGGGGTCGCTGTGAGTCGGTTCCGACTCGATGGCACATGACAACAACAATGTTTAAAGTGCTGGTCCATTTAACTTTAATAATGCTTCTGGCAAGGCTATGACTCAAAGGCACTTAACAACAATAACAATTCAGGGAATTAAAATTTATCAGAAATACCAGATACTCATGTTAATTTTACAGGACACGGTCAGGTGTGAGGAATCCTGTGGCAATGGAGGATAAGCACTGGACTGACTACAATGTCAGTTTGAACCTCAAGGTGGATGGTTCAAACTCAGCAGCCACTCCTTGGAGACCCTATACAGGGTCGCTCTGAGTCTGAACTGACTTGACAGCACTTAACAACAACAACCACTTGGAGATTGGACACTACTTGGACTTTGTGGCTTCTACTCCTTGTAATATGTCTTCCTCCTCCTGTTGCTCTGCATCATTTGCTACCCTGAGATTGAAATCAAGAAATAAAAGGAAGATCCCAAATACCACTCATATTTTTATCTTTCCCTGAGACATAGGACTTACACTTCTGTTGATGATACTCTGTTGCTTTATCCCATTTAGGATCTTTAGAAGGACTTCTTGGAGCAACTTGATAGTAAAATAAAGCAAATAAGTATACATTATTTTGCCACTCTTTTCAGAATATAGTGGTAAAAACTAGAATAGTGTTTCCACAGTAGTAGAAATTGTGGATGGAGGTCAGAAAGACTTTGATAATAGTAAAAACATCACTAAGTGTCTCCTCCCACAAGTTCTGCTATGGAGGTATAGCCCATTCTAAGGCCTAATTCAACTAATACACTGTCAGTCAATGTGGGTTCTGATTTTCTTGAATGGTCCCTGTTTCCTTAGGAAAAATATGTTCCTTCTTTTCTGGTTTTGATAAATGGTATTAGAAGTAAAGAACTGGAGTTCTAACTAATAAAAATGTTTATGGTATGACTAATTTCATAGTGTTTAATATGACAAGCCCTAGACTCATGTTTGAAAGCTGGTGGATCAGTAAAAAGTTATATAGTGATCCAATGAACAAAATCACTTTCAGTGAATTCCTTAATTACTTTCTTCTCCCTACCTTTGTCTTTACTTAGGCTCTGGCAGGCTCTCAATGGTCATTACTGTGGATATTTTGGACAGCGAAGGATCTTTGAGTTATCAAATGCAATTGACTTCATTTTACCTTGTGATGTTAATGAGTGTCCTATAGAAATAAAAGAAGAAAGTAAGTTCACAGAGAAGATGCAAAAATATGAATATCCTCTGATATTTAACAGGGAAAGGTAAGACTACTGACTTTTATTTAGATGGACAGACACAAATTAAGCTGTATTGATATTGTGACAATGGTGTGGGCCTGAAGAACTCAAAGGAGTAAACCCCAGAATTTTAAGTCTATTGAAGGGAGAAATATATAAACAAAATACTGTAATTTAATATAGTAATGCAATTGGAAATGTTTAGTTCTTTTGATAATCACAGAAGGGAGAGTAGTTTTTGGCCAAAGAAGGAAAACCAAATATGCAATTGCCTAAGCAAAGACTGTGACTGAATATGTAATATAGTAATTTGAGACTTGGAGTCCAGGGATAAGTGGAGAGGATGTAATAAGAAATAAAGCAAGAAAATTCTGAAGAAGCCATTTCACAATGGGATTCTTATGCATCAACAAAATAATTTTGAACATTACAAGGTACTTTATGACAGGATGTGCAAAGGAAAAGCAGTTCTGAATAAAAAGATCACAAGTTTAGTTGTGCATAGGTTTAAGTTTGAGGTTATTTGTGGAACACCCAAGTGAAGGTATTTAAAGAGTACTGAAGCAACCTGTCAGAAGCTGTAAAAAGAGGTCAAAGCTATAGATAAAAATTTGGGAGTCATCAAATTTTTCACTATAGATAAGTCATTCTGATCAAAATGTGTAAAGTGAGAAAAACAGAAAATTAAGGATGATGTCCAAAAGCAATATCCTTTAAAAAATGAGGTCAAAGAAGTTTTAATTCTGTAGACTTAATTTCTGTTCACCTGAGGTCAATTCAAGACAAGAAGAAGCAGTGCTTGTGTGGTTAAGTATCATTCTTCTCAGAACTGCAGAGGCAATATCGCTACCTTATCAGCATTGCTGGTCAGTGCTCAACTGTGTCTCTGATCTCTAACTACCTCCATGTCTGCAACATGCTTGAATGCACTCACAGACTCAGTACAAACTTGCTGTCACCTCCTCGCTACACTGCAGCCCTACCAACTTCTGTACTGTTCCCCAAAACAGGAGCCTTTGTACTGCTGCTCCTTTGACTGGACATTTGTCCTCTGTTTGCTCTGCTAGAAGCTTCAGTCAGAAATCATGAATAAAGAAAATGAAGGAATATGCCCTGAGCATTTTTGACACTGAATTCTAACTTGCTAAACCCCATAACTGTGACTATAGTATTCTGACCACCTTCCCTAAAATAGCATCCTTGTCATACTTTGCTTATCTTTCTTTGTAGAACTCACTGTTACCTGCTATTATATGGTAAATGTATTGTGTGTCTCCTCACTAGAATGTAAGCTTGTGGAGACCAGGGTTGTTGGCTGGCTTACCACTGAATCCCTAGTGTTTAGAATGGTGACTCTTATATAGTGTATTCAATGAATGCACAAAAGAATGAATGATAGCCTGGAAGAAATGGGATAGCTTGGTAGTTCAGAGTATGAATTTTTTTAGTTACCTATTGCAGTTCAGCAAATTACTTCTACCCATAATCTTTGTAATTCCCACCAGACAACTTTTTCTTCAACTGGGTCTGGGTAAAAAAATGTGGAGAAAGCTGCGATAGAGTTATATGATTCAGTTGTGAGTTAACAGGGCTAATTGTGATTGCGGTAACTTGGATCTGTAATATGAGTATAAAACCAGCTCTAGCAGGAGCCGGAAAGAGCATCCTACTACCATTAAGGAAGAAAAGCTAGCAGTGGAACATGTCCTTTGGGTCTTGGGATTCCTACACGTTGAACCTTCTTGACCCAGAAGAAAGCTGTGACACTGAAAGAGTCATAGAGAAGGAGCCGCAGCAGCAACACCAGCACCAGCACCAACACCAACACCAGCACCAACACCAACACCAATACCAGCACCAGTACCAGCACCAACACCAACACCAACACCAGCACCAGTACCAGCACCAAACCAACACCAACACCAGATCCAACACCAACACCAGCACCATCACCAACACCAGCATCAACACCAGCACCAGCATCAGCACCAACACCAAACCAACACCAACACCAAATACAACACCAGCACCAGCACCAACACCAGATCCAACACCAGCACCAGCACCAACACCAACACCAGCACCAGATCCAAGACCCACAGCACCAGAGTGCTGGGCTTCCCATCCTACAGAGAAAGTAAAGTAGAGTACCTTTGGGCAGCATATTCACTTTTGGAGTGGGGTGCCTCCAGGAACTTAATAGAGCTGAGTGTCTTTGGGCTGAGGCTTATAGCGAAAAGAGTGTCCTTTGGGCACTTTTCAGCAGCCCTAAAAGTACTTTATAATATTGTTATAAAGCAGGGCAGAGGCCAAGTCAAGGGTTAAAGGGCCAGAGAGAGGACTGCCTGCAGCCCCAGATGAGAGACTGTCCTGAATGGAAGAAATGTGGTGCCCTGAGCGTTTCTGATCCTGATTTGTAATCTGTTAATGAAACTAATAAACCCCATAACTCTGGGGGGTGGGGGGGAGTCAAAGAAGACATACCAGTATAAAATGATAAGAAGAACCTGGTTGTTGGAAAGAACCCCATAAAAGATGTAAATCAAGGGAGGAGGAAGTTGCAAGTAGAGTGATTGAGAGTACACATTTGCAGAACATGACAAAGAGGTCACATAAGTAAACATTAGATTTGTTGGCTGAAAAGTCATTGATGACACTAAAGAAGGTAATTTCAACCCTGTACAGGGTTGCTATGAGTCGGAACCGACTCCACAGCACATCACAACCACCACCAATGGATGAAAATCACATCATACTAGTTGAAAAAAAATAGGCGATAATGAAGACAGTATAGATTATTTTTTAAGGAAAACAGCCCTAGGATTGAAGAGTTTGTTTCACCGGCTGGCTTCTTTATGGGGAAAGAATTGAGTCTTAGGAGTACTGGTGTGGCATTTCAAGGTCGGTTTGAGCTGCAATTCAAGCTCACCAGCTGTTCCTCAGAAACCTATACAGGGTTGCTATGAGTTGGAACCAACTCAGCAGTACTTAACAAGAAAGTCTTAGCGGTCAATGGATAGCTATTTAATGGAGAACTAAATGGTGAAAAGCTCAAAATTGGTTTTGGGTGTGACTGAACCTTAATGGTAATGGGAGAGATTGGTGCTTATTTAAGCTTTAAACATCAGCAAAGCTCACTCATAGGTGGTGGGTGTCTGAATCTCTAACCTCAGGGGACCAAACTGACTTACAGTGACCCTTGGGGTTTCCGAGGAGCAGCTGATGGGTTTGAACCACCACCCTTGCATTTCACATCAACGTTGCAGCTCAAACTGACCTTGCTGTCCAGTGCATTATCCTGTAACACCACACCAGGGCAGACTAAATTAAAAGTGGGAAGAACTGGAAGATACGTTTGATTTCCTTTTAGGGAATATATGAATGAATGAAACCTGGACAGATTCAGTGCCATCATCTAGTCCAATAACTATAGAGAAGAATTAAAGGCAAGAGACCAGAACTACACAGAACTACAGTCAAAACAAGAGCAATCTAAAAATAATCAGGAACCATGTTAGGTTGCCCGATAAGCAAGGTAAACATGGGCTTACTTGTGCCTACTTACCACTCTGCAGTGAACTACTTAACATGTTTTCACCACATCAAAAATTCTGCTTTTAGGTAAGACTGGCTGTTTCCCTCCCAACCCCATAATACCTTTTTACAGACTCAAAAACATTTTTTAAATATTATTATCTCTGACTGAGGTGGTGTGGAGTACCCAGTAAATAAGAACAGAGTTATTGGTACTTGCTTGCAGATTTATCATGAACAATTTCTTGTTATCATTATGAAATTGTTCACTACAGACTATTAAGTAAGCACAAGTAATCCCATGCTTATCTTACTTATTGGGTAATGAACCCCTAGTACCAGATGAGTGCCAAAACTCCTTTGGAATCTTCCCAGCTTCCCTTGGTTGACCAGCAAGGAGCACTGTGGAAGAGGACTGGAGAAAATGTAGGAGTTGGTAA